TTATTTTTATTTTTCTAGGAAAATGGGAAATAGTCTATAGAATGGTACGGTTTGTACTTAACAGCCTGAACTCTCTTAGACAAGCTTTCTTGTAAATTCTTTAAGTAGTCTTCGGGAATAGTTCTCCAGGCTTCTTGAAGGGCATTCAAAGCTCTTACTTGAATATATGGGTGCTTTTTGTCCTGTTCATTGTCAAGATGATCCCATATTGCTTCAGTAATCTTGAGGTCCATGCTCTGGGGAGGCTAGTCTAGGACTGAGTGTTCCAGTGTGTGTTTTTGTTTCCAGGTATGCCTCTACTTCATTCGCAGTGTGTTTGATATTACTGTCATGCTGAAAAATGAAGCCATTCTGAATCAGGTGTATTCTAGATAGCATTGCTGTCTGGTGGATCAAATCTGATGGTTCTTTTCTGCTTTGATAATTCCATCAGTTTATACAATACCTCCAAGACCACTAGTTGAAACCACGACAGAGCCTCCACTTGCCACTTCTTTTTTTTTGGCCTCCTAAAATACACTTTTATGTCTGTTAGACTTGTTTTTGGTATTTGTCATCTAAAGAAATGGAAAGTGTTTTTGAGACAAGTTGCTTATAACAAAGTGCCTGAAGATGCAATTTAAATTTGGTTCTTTGCTAAGATGTATGTCATGTGTAGACAAAACACTGGGTCATTCCTTCAGCATGGTGCCTTTTTTATGCTTGAATGATTGATAGGTCAATGTTAAGTGACTTAAAGATATATTCCTCTCAACATGGTCAGGTACAAAGGCTGGACTGAGCATGAATGAAGAAGCAGCCAAAGTCTAAAGAAAAACTTTGAAAGACCAGTCTCGGTCTTTGGGAGCAAACTGTAAAAAGATGAGGAATGGCTTTTGAACTGTGCTATATATCAATACGTTCATATTTCAGGTCACTGCCACTGTAAAAAAAAAAAAAAGAGAGAGAGAGAGCGTTAGCCATAGCTAGTTGCCTACCAGATCTCTATCAGTACATTTAATTCAAAACCAAAAGGTTAAAATTCTAAGAGGATGACTTAAGGGGTAAAGTAAAATAAAATCACAAAACACATTAAAATTCAGACTTAATGTTCAGAATTTGTGCAAAAGAAGAAAGAAAAATGAAGAAATGAACCCAGGAGATGTTGAGGTAAAACATTTGTCTTGCCAGTGGCTGAATGAGAAGTCAGAGGAATTCATGCATGTGTGTGCAAAATTTTATATTAGGCCAACTGGCTAACAGATGACACAGCACTGTTATCCCTCACCACTAGCATGGTTAAAAATTTAAAGTGGGTCGTAATCATTACACCCCGAAGGCAGTGTTTATTCAAACAAGGATTTTTTTTGTCTCTGTAATAGTCTTAATGACTTGTTAAAATGGATATTATTACAACATTAGGAGCCTGACTTACTGTAATCATATTTAAATGAGATCCTCTGTGTATGCATGGCTCAGTTCCACATGAAGGATTAACTGATATTCTAACTCTGATAAGTTTTACATAATAAAAATGCTTTCAGATACTCGACAGTGGACCAGAGCGGTTACGTGCATCACCAGTCATGTCTTTAGGGCATTTCTACAGGAACCCTACTTTTATTGCACACAACAGGGCTTTGTATCTAACTGCGTAGTTATGGGATAGTAATAGTAGGGGAGAGTGGGAGTGTGCACAGGGATACATTCCTCCATAAATACGTGACGGCGAGAAAGTAACTGCAGTAACAGTGGGACGCCCCTGCTCCTTGTAAGACCTGGTGTTCATGCACAAGTGCTTCGTGTTGTCTTTCAACTGAGAGGGCCATCATTTAGTCAACATGGCAGCTGTGAAAGAGAGAATTACACTCTTGAGCCACTGGAGTGAGAAGCAATTGACTTGAATATCCCCTGTGACATTCTTAAAGAAGCAGGTCATTTTTTGGGGGGTCTGGAAAGCTGTCAGTAAAGGAGCGCAGGATGTAATTGTTGGTTTGGAGGAGCTGCTTTAATTATGTGTTTGGTTTAGCCGAACTGACCTGGTGGTTGCTTGGGATGATGTATGTGTCATTGTCCTGACTGAAGAATTTTTCACACACGAACACTGATGTTACTGAGATGGCTAAGCTTGCAACAAAGCTAGTTTTAGTGAAGCAACTTAGTGCTCATTTTGTCATTGCCAGCCAATAAAGGCTTTTAAATAACATTTTACTGCAAAGTTAAAACAGCAGGCTGCATTGACTCACTGTTTTTCCTACTTATCTGCAGTCACACTGGATGAAAATACTTCATTTGCACATATTTCTTTTCACACTTTGACTCAATGATTTCCCTGTCTACTGGCCGGCTAATTCTGACTTTTACAGCGAAGCGTCTGGGCACATGGGTGGGTGAAAGCAGACAGAAAGTGGGTGGAAGAAGCCTCGTCTCCATATGTTAGACATTAGAGGTCAGCTGCCGCATGTTTGTTCGTGCGCTCGGCCTGGCAGTTTCAGTTACACGGCCCACAAGCTACGCTATTGATCCCCTCACGTCTTCTGTTAAGGTACATCAACTTTTGCCTTCCTCTCTTACATTTAGATCCGGTCACTTACATCAGCAGCTGCAAAGAAATGACATCGGATGTATGTCTTCCCTATCCCCCTGCTTTAAAAAAAAAAACAACAAAAAAACCCCCCCAGACACACACACACATGAAGCCAGCGAATATATTTGCACAAAATGTTGTGTTGCTGTACAGAAGCTGAAGATCAGGAGCCAGCGTGAGCCTCTGGTGTCTCCTGAGAACTTCCCAGTCCCAGTTGGAATCAACACTGCCTGCAGGAGTGATGCTTGTCTTATTCTGTTTTGCTGATCAGATAACTCGATCACATATTAGCTCGCTGCCACAGTCTGAGAGACGTTTGGATGTGGCTCAGAAATAGGTTATGACACATTTGGATGCATGCTAGCGTCTAGTGGGCCTCTCAACAGGGACGGAGAGCTAAACAAGAGACAGCCTGCAGACAAAGTCTTGATAAAGAACAGACTCTGTCTGTGAGAGCATGTATATGTGTTTGTGTGTCACAGGCTGTTTGACACCTCTCTCAGTGTCCAGTTTTAAAAAGATTTCTTGATGCTTCTTGTCAGTATCTTCTTTTGTAGTGCTCTATATACCATTTGCTTTACACAGTCTGTGACCAATGCATGGCAGCAACAGTAGAGCTTTTAGCTCTAGGGGTGAGGGTCTAGTCACTCTCTGTCCTGGAATGCAGTTGACTTTCTAAATCCCCACCAGTCTATCCTGGGGCTGTGGGGCAGGGCCTATCTCAAGCCCCCTTTTCCATGTGAGCCATGTCTGGAATCTCTAAGCAAGCAGTTGGCTGAGTCCCCCAGCCTCGCTTTTTCACGGGCACTGAGCGCGTTGATCTCAGAGCACGATGGAAGAAGAAATTGCAGATGAAGACAGAGATTGCTCACTTGAGGAAGGTAATGAGCTTTGTGACATGAAACCAGCAAATGAATTCACATCCTTTAGAGGGTTTGAGTGTGTTTTGTCTGCTGAGTGTAATTTGGTTAGCAGTGGGGGAAACTGTGTTTGGCAGTTAAAAATAGAAATTGGAAATACATGAGAGGTCTTGCTGCTCTGAACTTGAGCAGGGTGGGAGTGTGGGTGCGCTGGTGACGGGCTCTGAGCGTGACGCACCACCGCACGATAATTATGAAAAAATTAAGCCTGCCTTTTGTGCTTAGTGATGAAAGCAGTTTTATGCTTTGCAGATAGAGCAAGTTAGAGCAAAAGAGACACAACTCTAGATTGAAAGAAAGGTGGAAAGGATGTAGTAGATGCTGGAAGAAAACAAGCACTTTTTTTTTTTAGATACAAATTACTCCAATAGTTAAATCTCCGAAACTAGTTTAGTCCAAACATGTCTGAGAAGAAGACGAGAAATTGCCTTTTCATCTGTGGCTCACAGCACGCTTTCAAGCTTTCAAAGAAAAAGACAAGAAAAGCTGCGTTAAGCAACCTGCAAAATAGTGGCAAATCACTCGAAATTTCCTCCTTCAGCTGTTGAAGAGCTGAACTCTGTAAGAGGTCCTTTATTTTCCGTCATTACCCTCTGAAAGGTACACATTACAGCTCCAGCTACCTGTCTACAAAACAAGGCAGCAGATCAGCTTGCTTTATTGCTTTCCCCCCTCTTTTCCACAGTTGAAGAACCGCCTCCTTCATTCTCTTCTCTTCTCTTCTCTTCTCTTCTCTTGTCTTTGTGCAATGATTGATTTAAGACATCATAACAACAGTACAGGGCTGTGTTTACCTCAGTTCCACGCCACACAAAATATGTGTCTTCTGCGTATTTTTAACATGTGATAAAAGGGTAAAAAAAATGTTCCTGGGGCTGCTTGCTTTTCTTTTATTCTGTGAACACATGGAATATTTGGGAACTCCACATGTGCAGGTAGCTCCTCTGATATTCATTTATTTATTTATTTTCATTCCTGAAAAAGTTAAAATGATTGCACCTGGCAGCTTCTGCTTACTCCCCCAGTTTCATGAGGCACTTGATGCATAAACAGATGCTCTGGATATCGTCTCCGAGTTTCTCCATTTGTGCCTCCTTCTGTTACTGGGTTTCCTTGTGTTTCGTAACGGAAAGAAACCTGAACAGCTGTTTCAATTTAGCGTTTTCATCTTCAGTGTTGTGTCTGTCACATTCAATCCAGGATTTATTGCAGAAATTTAAAACTGCATGAATATGTAATGAAGTGTGTATCAGTGTTGCTAACAGTCATTCAAATATGCATAAAATGTTTGTTCTTCATATTCACACACAGACTTTGTTATACCAGGAAGAGAGAATATTATTTATTTCCTTTTCACAAAGTTACAGGTGGCTGATTTGCACTGACATGCCCTACTTTTGACTTATGGAAGAATGACATGCATGCACACACATGCTCTTGATGTCGAAACGTGAGTGCGTCACATTTGACCCCTTTTCTCTTTGTGTGTGTGTGTGTGTGTGTCCCTTCCTCAGAACAAACCAAAAGCAACCTAAAGGTAACGTCCCCAGAGGACGCTGAGCACATAAGCCGCAGACAGGCGTCCCCAAATGGGACTGCCCCTTCAAGAGGGGACGCCAAAGGCAGCCGCACAATCCCCCGAAGGCACACTTTAGGAGGAGCTCGCAGCACCAGAGAGATTCTGGCTATGCAGCCGCCAGATATGGACAAGAAGAGGGAGGCCTTTCTGGAGCATCTGAAGCAAAAATACCCCCACCATGCTTCGGCGATCATGGGTCACCAGGAAAGGCTGAGGGAACAGGTCAGTAGGCTGCAGAAAGATCATCGTGTGTTATGTTGTTCGACCAGGTGCACCTGGTTTGAACATAAAAAAATGAATAAATAAACAAAAACTAGACCTCATGAGATTTCAAATGCTGGGAAGATCTAGTGTCCTGGGCCAAGGTGCCAGCCACAACTTGCCCAAGTTTGAACCCCCCACAGGTGTTATGCATTGAGCCACTATACTTTCTTTCTATACTTTCTTATCTGTGGAATAAATAAGTGCATCAACAAGCATTTCAGATCCTATTTTTTAAAAAGAAATCTTCTCTCAACCTTGTTTTGAGCTAAATTCATCTGTATGGTAGGTGCTGTTGCTGATGGCACACTTAACAGTTAAAGAACAAGACGTTTTCCTCTACTTCACAAACAAACAGCTTTACTGACTAAGTCCGTCTACACATACAAGGAATTGGGCTCTGTTATTTTCATTGCTCTCAATGTACTTCACAGAATATTGAAACGGATAATCACAACATGTATAGCATATTAATTTTGATACGTACACAGGTGCAATGCGGTGCAGAGTGAAAAGATGTTGGAATAAATTATATACATCATGACTTGACAGTAAATACTGTCAGTAATAATATAAAATTTATTTGTGTACAGTGATATATAGCTATGTACTTATCAATATAGTACATACAGGACATTTTAGCTGAACTAAAAGAAGATAGTAATACTGTTTTTTAGAATTGCATTAATCAGACTGTATTTAATGTTGCGATTTAGTTCAGTTCATTACAGCACGACCATATTCAACATGATAGTGCAAGTTAGGTCAAAAAGTAAATAACTAGTTTCCACAGAATTAGGTATAAACAGATATGAAAATGCCTTTATCCAGTCTTGGAATAGATAGTTTTCACTTCCTTTATAAACTGCAGTTTTATCTGCACAACTCTTTCCTTCCTGTTTTGTTGCTGCAGGTTAGATGTGAAATGTGTCCAATAAATCTGCCTGTCACATTTCCCTCCCACAGCTGCTGTGGAGCAATGAGGTTGTATTTTTATGAAGGAATAAAAAGAATCCTCCAAACCAGCGGGTCATACTTTCCTGTTTTGGTATCCATTATTTAATTAACAGGTGTTAGTATTAAAATATGCGTTTGTGTGAAATATGCCTTTCCCACTGTTATGTGGGAACTTTTAAAGGTTATAAATTCTCCTTGTGCTTCACCTTTCTGAAGTCAGTAAGGACGTAAGCACAAAGGGAGTCTCTAGGTGGACATTTGGCTCACCTGATCTGGTTTGTTTGCTCAGGGTCAGAGGAGATAAAAGATGGAGGGGAGGCTAGCTGGCTTTGTAGCCAAAACAATCGAGGTAATAGTGAGACTGGCACAAAGCCACAGGGAGCTCCAGGAAATGGCACAAGGTATTGTGAAAGAAGAAAGAATTTTGTGTGTGTGTGTGTGCTGTTTTCGGGCCAGCCCACATGCAAAGCAATGCCTTTTCATGAGGTGCAGTTTCAATCCGCTGCCTTGATTATTAACTCTGTAGGTTTGCATATATAGCCTAATATCACTCGTCATGAATGATGGTATCGAATTTGCCCAGGTTGATCAACCGGTTTGTTTGCTTTCTGAATACGGTGAGCTTGCACTGTGCACATGCATTGTTTTCTCCTTCGAATCAATTACCGATTCTCATTGGTGAGAAAAATGGAGGGGAGGGGGTAAGTGTATATTCGGGTGGTTTTATCCTGCGCACGAGTGGGGATAAAAAGGAGGACTTCTGTTGTGAAGTTTAGATAGACAGGTAAGTTCGGCTCCAGGCTGGGTGGAGTCAGAGTTGCTATAGTGACTCGTGATGTCACAGCTGGAAGGGCTCAGTTTACTTGTAGGTGCCTGTCGGAGAGAGCTGGGATCCTGGCAGTGTGAGATTTCTGTGTGTGTGAGTGCAGGAGCGCTCTTAATGCTGTGCAGGCTATGGACCGGGAGGTTGTTTGGAAGCATGGCTCTCTGTACGTGAAGCCCGCGGAAGAATAAGAATAAACTTTTTTTTTTTCTTTTAAGTACAAAGGAATACATTTATCACAACGGAGACGAGAGTCCAGTCAGAGGGGAGAAGAAGAAAAGGTAGGATACATCGGGAAATGTACTGGTTTCTTTTTTTCTAGACGTCCAGTGCCTTTTCACATATTAGTGCGCGTGGAAGTACTACAAAGATGCATGGATTGTTGCTCTTATGAGCACACTGAAACGCCCTGGAGTTTCACTATTGCGCCAGAGACAGCGCGCACCAGGCTGCTGTCAGGTGCTGCAAACTTCCAAGAGGCAAATGCAAAACTTGGTGCACGAGTTTTTTTTCCTCCCTTCTCTCCCAAGAATACAAATCGACACATTTAATTGGGTCGACGCCTTGAGGTGTAAATTATCCAAAATGTGCAATCCCGTGTGCAGCATCCCCGTAATTTTGCCACTTATGTAGCTATAATTGCAAAGCAAATGATCCATTGTGAACGGACGTCTGGGGTTATACCTTAATAACGTGCTGCATCCTGCGTGATAATGATGGTGATGATGATTATATGACAGTATAGCTGTGATTGCTACGCGGCTGGTTCCTGTTGTTGTTTTTCGCGTTGCTGGTGAGTTGAGGTGAAGATTCAGACCAGGCGTGTGAGATCTTGTGTGTCATCTTATATTTCTTTTGGCTGTGTGCTTATACGTAAAAAGATCCGCAATTGGAGCTTGTTGAGAGTTGCTGTGTTTTCCCAAACTTTGTGGCTCGTGCTTTAATGTTGCATTTAATATTTTATGCACTAATACGAGTAGACTAAAGCTGTGGGCTTGTTTCCCTGATTAGGCTGCCAGGACAGTTCCAGTTTCTTCTTTATCTCTCAGGGTTTTGGAGAAGGTTATTTACTCAGAAAAAAATCAAGGCTGCTGCTTGCCGCCTGTAAACATGCTGTTACATGGTAGTTTCTTTTGTTTTTTGATGAGCTTGTATAAAAAAATGTTATGGGTCATTCCAGAGTCACAGAGAGCTTACTGTCTTTATTTGCAGGTGACATGCAGTTACTCTAAAAATGTCAAGTTTTATGTCCTGTAAAGTTCTTCTCTCAGCTGCTGAAACACTGAACTGAGATGAGAGATCTGCTGGTGCTGACTGTCAGTTTGCAAAGCGTGACACCTTCAAATTGATTATTTTTTTTTCTTTTGGAGAGAAACTGCATATGTGTTACTCAGACATGTGGGATGGGATTCGGGCGCTGATGGGTCTTGAATACATCGTGTCCGGGATGAAGATACAAGACGCTGTCAAAAAGCAGGCAGCTTTCGAGCACCAATGCCTGCCAAATAAATTCAACGCTGATAAATGAGAAAAAGATGAGTGAAGAATGCAGTTGGCATGATCCAATTCTGGATGTCAAGAATAATGCAATAAGTCACTGCTAACAGAAGCAGCAGAAAATGAAAATAATGACAAGTTTATTGAAGTGTTTGTCATTCGGTGTCCTGAGGGGTGTAATTATTCAGATTTAAAGGAAAAAATAACTGCCAGAAAATGTGTCATCTTGCCCACAACAACATTCTTGTGAAAGGGTGGGAAAAAAAAATAGACCTGCCACCGTTCTCACGCAGATTCAAACATGCCTACCATACAGGAAAAGCAACATCAGTGGCGATGCGTGCTTCAGAAGGAAGAAGCAGGTTTGAGTTACAAAGGCGGAGATGCTTCAAGGTCAACCAGAGGTTAGGAAGATGATATTGTGTCAGCCCGAAAAGTGATGACCCCGGTCTTTTAGGAATAATCACACAGATACCCTCACACATAGCTACAGACTGCTTGCCTTATGCTTATAAAAGGGATCCCTTGATTCTTGATTCTTCTGTGATCTTTAAATCCGCAACAAAAGCAGAAGTGTTTTAATTTCCTCTGCTCTTCATTGGGTTTGCAAAAAAACCTGGATTCCACCCAAGGGAGATGAGATAAGATCCCGTTGGCCTGACCGCCACCTATCCTCTCATCCCTCTCCCTCTGCCCAGGGGCCTAGACAAGCACAAACCGAGCTGCTCGACTGGTCACGAACACACACACACAATGAATTCCCTCCTTCCGCTTGTGTGCCAGTGTCTGTGTTTGATGAGCTGTGACTTGCCAGGCTCCGGGTTTCTCTCCAGAGTGGGGCGGCCATGTTAGGACAGCTGTCTGCAGCTGTGGGCATCATACAGACAGACAGACAGACAGACAGACAGACAGACAGACAGAAAGGTCTGCACCCTCAAGCTGTGATAATCTGTTGGCCTATGTCTTATGAGGGCACATATTTCAAGATGGGCAAATGTTTTTGGGAAGGAGATGCTCATAATGCAGTTCTCCTGCAACATGAACAGTCAGAGTGTGATCTGAACAGTTTGTTCTGTTTTATGAATTTTAATTAAAGAGAAAGTTTTTAAACAAGACTTTGTAAGGCACTCGACGCACCCAAATATACCAAATATACAGGGTGCCATTGTCATGTTGTGTTCTGTGCAATTACCATAGGTATTGTATTTATGGCACACATGTTTGATAAAATGTAAGGGTATATGTTCGCATGTGTAGGTGATAGGGTAAAGTTTTCCAACCAGTCTCTGTCAGTCCACCAACCTGCGGTCAAGATATTTGCGCAGGGGTACAACAAAAAGTTGCCTCACTATATATTACAACAGGGGTGGGCAACTCCAGCCCTCGAGGGCCGGTGTCCCTGCAGGTTTTAGATGTGTCCTTGAACCAACACAGCTGATTTAAATGGCTAAATTAGCTCCTCAACATGTCCTGAAGTTCTCCAGAGGCCTGGTAATGAACTAATCATGTGATTCAGGTGTGTTGACCCAAGGTGAGATCTAAAACCTGCAGGACACTGGCCCTTGGGGCCTGGAATTGCCCACCCTTGTATTACAACCAACAGTGGACTCTATCAGCTACCCAAACACAGGTAGCTGATGTAGTCATCCAGTTGGTCAACACTGCAACACATGTGAAACATCAT